ACATCTAAGTATATACAATTACACAGGTGCAGTTCCTTTTATTGTTGCTCTTGAATGACTTTGTTGTTTAGAAAACAAGTGTCCTGGGAAATGGATGAAAACAGCTACTTTTGTCTTGCTGTGGGGACACAAACAGCTGGACCGTTCCTCTAAACCGGATTCAATTTTAGTAGGCAATGTAGGAGAAGATTTTCAACATATTTTTTTTTTGTCAAGAATAATTTATGCTGATGCAGTTACATATATTTTTTTTTCCAAAAAGGATGAGAAATTAGACTAAGGAAGCCAGAACTGTCTTGTCCTACTTATTTTTGCTGCAGTTTGCCTTCCTTACAGTCCTCCTCCTCCCCAAACAGTGGAGTAAATGCTTGGATGTTTTTATTTCGCTGCATTTCTACAGCCAGGGAAGAGGAATTTATGGAATTTTCTGTCTGGGGGCTAACCAACAAACTTTGATTTGAGAGGGGGCCTCATTTGCCACCTCACCTCGGGCAGTGAAGAGTTTTGAGACTGGGCCGTCAGCTTCCCAGCATAGACCCTCTCCTTATTTTCTTTCCCGAGGCTACACATATGGTAATCTTTTCCTATATACCAGTACTTGCCAAGCTTCCGTTTCCCTCGCAACCTAAGACAGAGCTAACCTTCCTTTCATCTAAGGCCCATTTTCTGGGTTGGTGGGACCGCCATCGAAGTACATTTCCTATCTTTAAACCACCCAGGCAAGAAGAGGCTGCCTTGGCGCAGGCTATTAAGGACTTCTCCGGCCCCATCTACAGCACAGCCCGCGGGGCTTCGCATCGTTACAATCAGCTTTCGCAAAGCAGTTTCAGAGACCTCCCCCCCCCTCCCTCGGCCAACGCGATAGAGACACCCGGCAGCAGAAGGTGGCTCATCGCCAGCCCAAAACGCCGTCGGTGGCGAGAGCGAAGCGGAGCCCTTCCCAGGACGGCCGCCTTCTCATTACGCTTGAAGCCAACCCAGCCCGACGTTTCCCGCGGAGGATCTCTTTCCCAAGACAACCAGGAGCCGCCTCCGTGGGAAAGGAACGGGCAACGCTGAACTCGCTACGGAGCAGAAACAAGGAAACGAGCGGGCTCTCCCGGGAAATAAAGGAACCCCACCCGAAAAAAAAAACAAAAAACCGCGAGCCCCGACGCCCCCGCCGAGCCCTCCTGGCCGGAGGCAAGTTTTCCTCGCCGCCCCTGCCACGCTTACAGTTCCTGATGTCCGAGATGAAGACGGCCAGGCCCCGCATCCCATCCCCCTTCGACACGGCCGGCATCTTTACGCCGAAACAGAGACTCCCACCACCGAGACTGCTGCCGCGATCCGCGCGAAGGACCTTTAGCCTCCGAAGCCGCCTTGCCGCCCCGCCTGAGCGCAAGCGCGACGCCTTTCCGCTTTCGCCGTCCTATCTCGGAGCCGCTAGGCAGCGCCTCGGGGCGCCACCTCGCGTGCGGAGGAAGGGATGTGTCGGCGGGGATTGGGCCGAGTGAGGCTGCCTCAGAGCGACACTCCGTGGCCCCATCGGCTCCTCGTCACTAGCTGTAGCTGCAAGGCCCTCAATCCCAAGGAAGAAGCTCCGCTCGAGCGCCCTTGGCTTCCTCCCGAGGCAGCGCGCATCGTGCTGCGGGAGGAGGAACAGGTGTTGATCCTTCCTAGGCTAGGCGGAGGAAATGGAGCGCAGAACACCGCCTCCGCCATGCCCCTAATGAGAAATAAATCCGCTTGAGCGTTAACATTGGATTTGGTTTACCATCTTCAATCCTCCTGGTGAGTTTAGCCGATTGGACGCAATGAAATATTTCTGAATAAGCACCCCAAAGTTTGCCCTTTTACTGCTTTGTCGGTAGAGGGTATAAAAGCCCCATCTTGCATGGCTCTTATAAGCCCTGTTAGATTTTTCAAACGGTACACAATGCTGTTCCACTGCTTTAAAAAAATAAAAGCACACTATGCGGTGCCATTATTTTTAAAAAATAAAAGCCTAAATGTGGCTTGTTTGTAGCAAATGAGAGAGATGTGTAGTCAAATAGGCTTTAGAAAGCTTGGTTACAACTTTTGAAATTCAGCTGCTTTCCAATCAGTATTTAAAATCAATTATCATTTTCTTTTATTCAAATATTACATTATGTATATGGTTCACCGCAATCAAAATAAACTATACAATAAAATGCTACATTACTGTTGCTATTACTTATCTTCCAAGCCTACATATATCTCACATGCTGTAAGTTTAGAATTACATACTACTAAAGGTTGAAATGAGGGATCCTTGGTGCTCTCTGAGCTTGGTTGTTTTCTTGCTGACATTTCATTACCCAACTAGGTAGCAGCTCAATGCTTTGATTTTGGGTAATGAAATATCTGCAAGAAAACAACCAAGTTCAGAGAGCACCAAGGACCCCTCATTCCTTAATCCTCTCTATACAGCTGCATGTTTGGAACAATACAATGGGGTTTTCCATAAGTATCAATATTCAAAAATTCCACAAACAGCAGCCTTTTATGTGTTACACTTATTGCATGAAGAACTTTCTATGCCCATTCCAATTTTCAAGATGCATTCCTCTAAGGATCTTGTTTTAACAGGCACATTAGTTAATATTGATATGGTATTATAATGCTCTGCTGGCTTACAACTAATAATGTCAGCTTCCCCACTATGCTGTAGTTAGATGGCTATTTGTGGGAGAGATGTGGGTCTAAATCATAGATTGGTCTGTTGACTGATGGTAGATGTAGATAGTCTATACAAGTGAAACTAGTGTGCAATTTCATATTGAGAGTATCTAAGCAGAAAGGACCTTGACAAACTCTAGGACTGGCAACCTATAGGTTCTTATTTATTAGATTTTTTTCTGCCTTTAATATTTTATAAGTAACTCAAGACAGCGTAGATACATAATACTCCTTCCTATTTTCCCCACAACAACAGCCCTGTGAGGTGGGTTGGACTGAGAGAGAGAGTGACTAGCCTAAAGTCACCCAGTTGACTTTCATGCCCAAACTGGGATTAGAACTCACAATCTCCTGGTTTCCAGCTTGGGGCTTTAATCACTATACTAAACTGGTTCTCTAGTTTGCATACATTTTCCACTTCAGCAGTAGTATGGATCATTCTTAATCCCCTTACATAGTCAAGTTGAGTCCACCATTCAAAGATCAATATAGTCATTAAGTAGGGAAAAGTTGCATATCCCTGGACTAGGATTTTTACTCCTGTGAGTCACTATGAGATCACAATGGCTAGTCTTTACATCATTAGACTTTCCATCATATCACAATAGCCTGTCCTCCTTCTTCAGGCAGGCAGTATCCACAGAAAGTCACTCTGGCCATTTCTCTCCTTTGGGCAGGCAGTGCCACAGCAAATCTAAAATATAGCTTGTGAAAAATTCTGAAAAGACAACAGAATCAAAATATGATTTCTCTCTGTTTTGGACATCAGTGCCAGCACAAGCTCAGAAAGGTCAGTCTCTCTTACAGGCAATCAGCAGTGGAAACTGAAGCTAAGCAGGGTCAGGCCAAGGAAATAATAGCAAACCCACTTCTCTTGCCAAGAAAAATTCTATTGCCCCTAGAAGGAATGGAATTGGAGATTTCCCCTCTCCCCCAGAAAAGGAATGGAAGTTATTTGTCCTTGTGCTTTTTAAAAATAAAACTGCAGTACTAAAACTCAGCAAGCCAACATAAAAATCGTATCAAAGCCCCAGGTGTATATCCAATGATTGAACTGGTTGTAAGAAACTTTCAGAGTGATTCATCATACTTTTCTACTAGATACAGTGTTTCCCAAACTTGACAATTTTAAGGCATGTGGACTTCAACTCCCAGAATTCCACAGCCAGCATGGCTGTGGAATTCTGGGAGTTGAAGTCCTCATGCCTTAAAATTGTCAAGTTTGGGAAACACTGTACTAGAAGAAAAATCTGAAGGGGTGGTAACAGTCTGAGTTTTAAAGGAAGAATGGAGGTGGGGTGCTCTCCCTTGATTTTATTCACACAAAAATGGTACTATGTAGGTCAGAGAAATAGTAAGTTAGTATCTGGTGTAAAGACAATTCATGAGTACCAGAGTTTAAGAGGGTATGCAAAGCCAGCCACACTCAGTGCAACATTCCATTGGCTTTACGCCTCCTCAAATGCTAGCTTATGTCTATTCAGATACAGAAGATATTGAAATCCATGAAGTTTTAGGCATTAGTGCATGGGATTTCAGACTTACTGGGAAACTAGGTCCCATTAATTTTGTACAGCTTTGCAGAAAATTCAAAATTAGACTCTCAGATTATACATTTGGACAACCATCCAAGGTCAGAAAGAACTTTGTGATTTAGTAGCAGCCTTGCAATCTTTAGCAGAAAGATGTAGTTGAATTGGCTAAGAATTAGTGAAACAACCTTGAATGTTTCTTTTCAAATACAGAAAAACTCTTAACTCCTTGTTGCCAACTAGTTCTCATCCAATTTTTTGCAACTCAGATCGTATAGCTCAAACTTTGATCAAATTGAAATAGTTTGCCTAACTCTGATTAAACTGAATTCAGCTAATGGAATTAATTTCAGTTTTACACCACCAGCTTCTTTCATCACTTTTTATGAACATTTTGTGTCTTTTTGACTGGACCTAATAATGTAATCTCCCAGTTAGGGATTGTTATCCAGTCTTTTTATGTTTTTGTTATTGTTTATATTATTATATTATTGCTACACAAACATACCCTCTAATGTAGCTATTTTTAGGTTGATGTTTTGCCATTGCTCTGCTATATTGAGCCTGCTTAAGCCTATTTAGTAGGCTCTTTCTCCGTTGTAATTCTCTGCTGTCTCCGAAGCGGGCTTCCAATGACTTAGTTTTACCGTGTGACCTGGGATATCTCGCTAGAGCTCCCTCGTTATCAGCCACTTTATTATGAAGTCACACTTATCACAAAAAAAAAGACAAAGAAACGGCTCCTTTAAAAGGCGTGCACTCCTTGCCTCTGATGTTTTTGTTTCACTTCCGAGTCGAGGCAGATCCGGTTTACAGAAGGAAATCAAGGGCGCGAATGCGAGTGCTTGAAAAGGTGGGAGGGGATTGGAAAAGACAGGCTTGGGTTGAGCTGCACCCAACGGGTCAGCCTCTACTAATCGTAGCTCTTCAAAAAGTCCGTATTTCCCGCTAACAGTCTATTCACACTAGCAGCTTCCAGTGCTGTAATAAGCAGGGCCGGGACACGCCACCGTTTCTGGAGAAAACAGGTTGAGGACTCTGCGCTTAAAGTGGCCAATCTAGTAGGCGCGTCATTTTGCAGAGCAGTAGAATTTAGTGGCGCATACAACAGGATTGCCTTGCGATCCCTCTTTAATCTGGTTTGCTCGGTTGTGGCTTCGTATGGTACAGCCAGAGACTAGTAACGGTGGTTTAAAGTTTAAACTAATCTCATAACGCTGTTGAGTTCGGGGGGGGGGCGGATTTGTGAATTGAAGGTAATACTTTTGAGGGAGGTAACATTGAAATATTACTTAGAAAGAGTTGTGGTGGTATAACAAATCAAATTCTGTGGAATTTGTATACGGGAATTGGAATGGATTCCTTTCTTACAGATGGAAAAGCAAGCGACAGATCTTTCTAAATCTGCAAAATCCTCTTGGATCCTTATAGTTTGTATTTTCAGGTCTTTCCCTAGTTTTAACTTTTGCATAGTGGGTTACTGGGTATCAGTTTGAAAAACGTTGTAAAAATATAATTTACCCATCTGGTATTTTTATAATGGGGAATGGAATAAGGTAAACCATTTGATTAGAACTAGTGGCCAGTAAATTGGGTGGGAAATGAAACAGTGGGTTGTGCCCATTGCACATTCACATTAATACAATTTTCGGTGACCATGATCTTGGCTTTCCACTATATCTGGGAGTGAGAATTGTTGTGACGTATTCTAGTTAGTAGCTTCACATCAGATTTGCATTGAAAATTAGTTCTGCTGTTTTTTAAGTGTCTCAATGCATATTTCAAAAGAGGGAAGGCCCCTATTAAGATGCTGCTTGAAAACTCATTGTTTTGATGCCACCTTTTAAATTAAAGTGTTTTCTAAAACCCCATCTAATTAATTAAAGTTTGCAGCCCTTTATTGGGTGCTATCTGACTTCCACAACAAAGTCTATAATTTCCAGACAATTGACTTGAGTAAATCTGTCAGAGCGGAAACATTAATTGTAATGGATTTGAAAAGATAACAAATTGATTTAACTATACAGCTTTTGTGGATTTAGAGCTATAAAAGTTTATGCCACAGTAATTACTCTTTGGAGGCTTGCCATTCCCCCCTCCCCAGAAGACATGTATATTGTTTTAAAAAAATGCTTAAAACTTCCTCCTCCGCAAAGTCTGTTAGTCTATGGCTGAAGACACTAGAGAATGTAACCTTTAGCAGACTTTAACTGGGTAGATACAAGAGATACTGTACATTTTTATTCGGCATTCCATTTGCAGATGGAAAAGCAAGCGACAAATAGATCTTCATAACTCTTCTGCAAAATTCTCTTGGATCATTTTAGTTTGTTTGGGGTTTTTTTTTTTTTTTGCTTGCTTGCTTTTGAACTCTGGGTGACAATCTGACAAGCTTTACTGATAATTTGTCTACATGTCCAATTATGGCTGCTACTTGACCCTTCTACACTGAATGGAAAGGATAGATTGGATCTTGAGTTGTGTCCTCTGTCTATCCAAAGAAGATGAAACATGAAGAATCATATAGCTTCTGGGACATCTTCCTAGCCATTCTTAAAGCAATCCATTTGTGTGTTAAGTGTTTCTGGTCTTTGTGATACAAATATAAAACTTAGAATATATATATATTGCAATTCTGTAGCTATGCTTGCATCATAGTGCTGAAGAAAAGTGAGTGAACAGAAAGTCCTCAACTTAACAACCACTACTGAGCCAACATTTATGTTAAGTGAAAAATTTGTTAGGTGAATGTTGCCCTATTTTATGACTTTTCTTGCCACATTTGTTAAGTGAATCACTGCAGTTGTTAAATTAGTAACATGGTTGTTAAGTGAATCTGGCTTCCCCATTGACTTTGCTTGTTGGAAGATCACAAAAGTTGATCACGTGACCCCAGGACGCTGCAACCAACATAAATATAACCAGTTGTCAAGCATCTGAATGTAAATTACATAACCATGGGGGATGCTGCAATGCTCATAATTGTGAAACACGGTCATAAGTCACTTTTTTCAGTGCTGTTGTAACGGTCACTAAATGAACTTTAGTAAGGCAAGGACTACCTGTATATGGCACATTTTAAAACTCCTCCCATGTCATGCTTTCCCAAAGTTGGGCGAATCCAAAATCTCTGTCATCCTGGATTTCTGACTGAAGGCTTGAAGTGCACAATGTCTGTAGTTAAAGAGATCCATGACAGTAGCTATTCTGAGAGTATATTAAAGGCAAGTCCAAAAACTTGTATAGAATGACGGTCCATACAAAGTTTCCAGAAATATTAAAATGGGGGGGGGAATGAAATTGCAAAAAGGGAAGCACATACAATGTTAATTTGGGGACACCATACAGAAGTCATTTTAAATCAAATGAATATACTTTGTTCAATTATTATATATCTGTTTATTTAATTTAAATTTTTTTTAATGTTACAAAAGTACTAATAAGATGCTAATTTTTTTAGATACTAGTATGGAATTTAGGAGAAGAAAGCAGGCAAAAAGGCAGTCCTCAAAACTCTTGACGGTATTATAGTAAAACAAGGAAATGTTATCTGTTCTAAACCAATGCTGAAAGCACCAATTAAAAAAAGTTAATGCATGCTTATTCAAATGAAAGTACTCTTTTTAATTTGAACTATTGCCAGAGGAAAAGCTAGATCATTGGGGGAACATTGCAAACGCTAATAGAATCTTATTCTTGAGGGGACTGATGCTGGATCTATTCTTTTTAATTTTCCTTTACCTTTATTAGTATCTAAAAATTATCGAAATTAGATTGTTATTCAGTGTATAAGATGTCTGTTTCTATCTTCTTCATCCATAGACGTTAGACTCAAATAATTAAAGTTGCCATGAAATGTATCTGCGTTGGTCTTATTTTTGCCCTGGTTTCTCAGTTGGCTGATGCTACATTGTCAAAGACAGATTTGAAAAAAGTTTCCTCAAAAACTCTGGAGGAAAAGGTAGGAGAACATGGTTGATTTTCTGGCATTAATCTCTGATTAGCAAAGATTCTTATCAAATACTGTGTGAATGTTGTACTTTGACCCAGCAGTATTTTTTTTGAATATACACAGAGAGTACTTGACAGAAATCTATTAATTTCACAATGGTCTTCTTAATTTCTAATTAGATAGTTCTGGAAAGCAGCTCTCTCGTAGGAAATATAAAATTTTCATTTTATAATGCTAAATAATGTGTTCTATTTGTTAACAGCATTTCGTTTATATGCATAGTTGTGGATGTTTTCTTCTTTAATTTTAAAACCAAAACAATAGCAATGCACTTGTGGTCATTCTGTTTCTCTGTCTAGGTAAGGATATATCTCTGCAATGATGACCCGATGGGGCACAGGTTGTCTAGTATTATCTAAACCCAGAAAGTAAACTTAAGTGTAGTTCCCTCTTCTAGCTGTTAGCACAAAGAAGAAAGTGGCCATTCAAAATAGGATCTTTCTATCTACTGTTTTTTTCTGCTCATATGGGATGTGAAACAGGCACAAAATGGGTATGAGAGGAGATTGAGATTTTCCTACTTTGATTCTAATCCTAATTAAGCTATTACAAACATTTTTCAACATTCATCATATCAGATAAATCAGTTATCCTGGAAGGTGTCAGACTTGAACGGAGTTATGTGAATCGATCAATAATAGTAATAGTAGTAGTAGTAGTAATACACCAATAGTGTTATAGACTGAATTCTCTAGATGAGGCAGCAATCACTATCACTTTCAGCTTCCAATTGTGTGTTTCTGCAGCAACATGAACAGATTTTCACCAGACATAATTATTGAGGAATAGATAGGCTACATAAAACTTCGTATTTTAAATTTGCTTCTGTATGAAAGACCTCAGATTTTCCGAGGTGATTCCAAATATTAGTTCTACTTGTAGATGTACAATTATCAAAGCATTGGATGTCAATTATTGTAAATATATTAGAAAGTAATGATCCAAAGTCCAAAGGATTTTTAGTAGATAATGTTAGAACCATTGTTTACACTAGGGAAGTTCAAATTGGTAGAAAGAGATGACCAGGGAGATCTTCACTATTCTTCCTTGTACTTTTCAGATAGTTTTGATCCCTCCAGGGCAGCATGAGGGGTAACGTAAGGGCCATGAGAAAGGGAGAGTCAACTAAATCACCTTCCACCCTAGGCTGGATCTCTCTGCTTCTGTGTAGTTTGGGATGTGGTCTAGCGTTGCCAAGAATATGCTGAATTTAAATTTGGTCATATATTCCCTGCAATACTTTTCTTTCATTTCTAGAGAATGTACCATTCCCTTTTCAGAATTGCCATCTTGGTTATGATTATTGACTTAGCAGCTAATCCCATCTGTTTCCAGTAGCAACGGACTTGTGTTCATAAGTAGGGTTTGAAAATAAGAGCTTTCTCTGTGTTTTCCCCCATCTTATATTTCTAAATGCACTACTTCACTATTAGGTTTTGGTCCTGTAATTTTGAAGCCCTCTAAAGATATTACCTTTCCTTGAATTGTGTGCTAGCAATCTCTCTAAATCAATTCTACAATAACTTTATTTTGACAGACACGTCATTCAAATCAAACAGTACAGGAGCGTGGTTTAGTAGTTATTGATCCAACGGCAAAGGATATTGTCCTTGAACACAAAAGCTATTGTGCTACAAAAGGACGTGAACACTCCTTCAAGGGAGAAACTTTGGGCTACATTACACCTGTAAGTATGGAGTGAAGTTGAGGTGCAACAGCTGGGTGATTTTGGGCTAGTCACTGTCTTTCAGTCCAACACACCTCACAGGGTTGTTGTTGTGGGGAAAAATAGGAGAAGAAAAATGTCTTGGATATGTTTGCCGCCCTGAGCTATTTGTAAAAAAAAATAATAATAAAGGCAGGATATTAATTAATTAAACAGTGTAAAAATACAGGCTTCTTTTGTGAGGGGATAAGTCCATGGTAGTGAACCTATGGCACGTGTGCCACAAGTGGCACACAGAGCCCTCTCTGTGGGCACACGCACCGTTGCCCCAGTTCTAGGCCTTCAGCTGGGTTTTATAAAACCTTTTCGCTTTAGGCCTCCACCGCCGTGTGCAAAAAAAAAAAAAAAGGTTCAATCAATGAGTCAATTTCAACTTCTCGTGGGAAAAAAAAAGATCTCGCAAATTTGGAATTGATTGAATTTTTTAGTCCCACCCAGCCATTACCACCGCAGCCACGCCCACACAATGGGCCATGCCTACACAATCAACCACACCCACACAATCGGCCACGCCCACCCAGCACCAATGATACATAAGTGGGTTTTGGGTTGCAGTTTGGGCACTTGATCTCTAAAAGGTTTGCCATCACTGGGATAGGTTAAACTAGAGTTGAGGACCTTAATCTAGTTCTTTCAGTATAATTTACATTTGAAGATAGTAAATAATGTAGCAAATATGTTTCCATACTATGTTCCTTTTCTTTTCTTTTTATAGTGGAATAGCCATGGCTATGATATTGCTAAAACTTTTGGAAACAAATTTACAACAATTTCACCAGTCTGGCTGCAGGTGAAGAGAAGAGGAAAAGAGAAGTTCCAGGTGACAGGGCTCCATGATGTTGACCAAGGTCTGTGCTTTCTATCTTCTACCTAAGACCTGTTTCTAATGCTTCTACTGTCAGGCTTTCCAGTGTTAACCTTGTATTATGAAAACCTGCTGAGTTGTATAGAAATATTTCTTTCTCATGGCTGGTAGGAATGAAGTGTAGCCAATTTATAATAACTAGATATATTCTATGCAATACAAAATACATTTGATCAATGTAATAATGTCCCCATATTTTTATTTCAGCTAAGAATGTTATAAAATCCATACCGAAGTCATATTAAAAAGAGAGATTGGCACATCTATGTCAATTTTCTAGCCATATTCTCATTCATGAGGTACTTAAAGAGAGAAAATGATGCATGCTTGTGTTTTCAAATTGTGGAGGCTTTGACCTAGTGTTCAAGACACAAATAGAAGTGGCATCTGTAACAAAATATTACTATGTATTTTGATTCCTTATTAAAAGTGCTTTTGCTCAAGGTGGTAGCTGTTAGCGCCTTACCCCATGATATTGTACATAGGAGATGCTTAAATAGACCCATTAATTCTGCCTTACTCCCATTTTTCCATTTTCTTTTCCAGTGACATTTAACATTCAGTAAATAGTCCCATTAAGCCAATGTGGGATGTTTTCCTAAATTTCCCCCCTTCTGATACCGTGTACTTTTTTAATCTCGTTCATTTTCAGAGCATTTTTACATAGTTTTTATTGCTTCTCCAAATTCATCCACAACCCACAGTACTGTTTTCACACTAACCTTTTTGGGTGCAACCATTGCAAGCATGGATGCAGTGAAACTTACTTATTCAATCTACAGTATGTGTTGAATATATAATGGGGAAGGCTGGACCCCACTTTGCATCTTAAGAAGACAGAACTCTTGGAATAGCTCTTCCAACAGGAATCCTTTATTAAGAGAAAATGGTTGCAGGCATGCTAGACAGGACTTGGGGTTCAAGCTCTCCCATTCAAGGTTTTAAGGGGTTCCCCAGTAGTCCCACCCAATCAACCCCCCTTCCAGTGATAGTTTCAAGTATCACAATTCCATCCCCTTTCTTCTTCCGTCTGGATGGAGACTTCAGATAACTACATGAAAGGCAATTACTCTTCTTTGATATGTTAACGCTTAGAGGCCACAATAAACACACATTCAGTCCTTTGAAGTGTGCTGAAGGAAGTGAGGGCCATAAAGCCCCTTTGCTCTCCCCCTTTTCTCCCTCTTATGGCAGAATCCAGAGAAGGCAGAATTGGGAGTTTCTATGTTTGATAATTAAAGATGAAATATAATTGGATTCTGACATCCGGCCCCTCTTAACAATAAGAGAGATCCACCAGGGGTTCGCCTTCCGAGCTGTCATCTGAGGCATCCACCGTCCCTGTGGTGTAGGCTGGAGTTCTTTCCCCTTGGTGAGCAGAGGTGGGGTTTTCTGCAATTTCCATCATTTTCATGGCTGTTTCTTTTGGCTTAGCTGAATACCCTCTGGGTTTGTTGATTGGGGATCTGTCTGGGTTGTGCTGGGGGGCCTTTGAGCGGCATTCTACAGCTCGATGCCCTTCTCTTCCGCACTTGAAACACCCCATCTGCTTCTTGGCTGTATCCGATGATTTCACCGGTTGGTGTGTCAGCTCAGGCGGGGGGCGGCTCCATTGTTTTCCTCGGCGATGCCTCTTCAATATGTCGATCTCTGCTTCCTCTGCCAAGACGTACCATTCCTCAAGTCGATGTGGGTCTCCTCGGGGCAGGCAAGCATCATATAGATCATAGTTTAGTCCGTCTTTGAAACGGCCAAGGAGGATGTCTTCTGGCCAATTCAGTTTGCTGGCAATGGCTCGGAATTCTTGTGTATACTCAGCCACTGGGCGTTTGCCCTGCCTCATCGTTGTTATTCTTTCACGGGCTTTGCGATCAGCCAGGGGGTCTTCAAATCGTCTTCTCAACGAGGACATGAAACGGTTGAAGTTACTGAGTTCTGGGGCATTGGAGTCATGCAGGTTCACCACCCAATCTGCAGCTGGTCCATCCAGGGCAGATTGCACGATCCGGATGCGGGCTTTGTCGCTGGGGATGTCCTGCCCATATTCCTCCATGTAGCTGAGGACTTGGGTTAGGAAAAACCCCAAGCGTGTTGGCTCCCCTTTGAATTTCACCTCCAACGGTGGACGTCTTGGAATGGATCGGTGCCTCCATTGTGGGTGGTAGTGTCTTCCGTCCAGATTTCCATCTGTGGTCCGGTAGGGGGTGGGAGCTCCTGGATCAGTAAATGTCCCTGGGGTTGCAGGTTCCACGTCCCCCTCGGTGTCTCTCCCTTTGTGGCTCCAGGAACTGGGGCGGGCGTAGGGCTCAGGAATCTCCTCTCCTAGGGAGCTGAGAGTTCTCTTCATCAGGTCAATAGCTCTCTCTAGGATCCAGTCTGAGTACGGCATACAGCTTCCTCCCTCTTCACTTGCGTGCAGGGATTTCTCCATCTCCTGCTTCCATTCTGGTTGCTTGGTCCCCCGTCTCAGGGTCACTTTTCTTGATTCCTTTCCCCACTCGCTTTTCTTTCCAACGCCCATCGACCAGCGAGGCTTGTGGTCCTGTGTCTCCACCACTTCTTCTTCTGAGAAATCTGGCCTCTCGGATCCCAACATCTGGCAAGGTTCCAACTGGGTCAGCGGCTCTCTTTCCAGGGAGTTTTCTCCCTCTCTTGCTTCGTTGTCTGACATGGTAAATTTTTGCAAAATCCCCCGGCAAGGGTCTACCTTCCAGGTGGATTAATTTTGCAAGTCCTGTCTAATGTAAGGACCCACCCCACTTTGCATCTTAAGAAGACAGAACTCTTGGAATAATTCTTCCAACAGGAATCCTTTATTAAGAGAAAATGGTTGCAGGCATGCTAGACAGGACTTGGGGTTCAAGCTCTCCCATTCAAGGTTTTAAGGGGTTCCCCAGTAGTCCCACCCAATCAACCCCCCTTCCAGTGATAGTTTCAAGTATCACAATTCCATCCCCTTTCTTCTTCCGTCTGGATGGAGACTTCAGATAACTACATGAAAGGCAATTACTCTTCTTTGATATGTTAACGCTTAGAGGCCACAATAAACACACATTCAGTCCTTTGAAGTGTGCTGAAGGAAGTGAGGGCCATAAAGCCCCTTTGCTCTCCCCCTTTTCTCCCTCTTATGGCAGAATCCAGAGAAGGCAGAATTGGGAGTTTCTATGTTTGATAATTAAAGATGAAATATAATTGGATTCTGACAGGAGGCTTTGACCTAGTGTTCAAGACACAAATAGAAGTGGCATCTGTAACAAAATATTACTATGTATTTTGATTCCTTATTAAAAGTGCTTTTGCTCAAGGTGGTAGCTGTTAGCGCCTTACCCCATGATATTGTACATAGGAGATGCTTAAATAGACCCATTAATTCTGCCTTACTCCCATTTTTCCATTTTCTTTTCCAGTGACATTTAACATTCAGTAAATAGTCCCATTAAGCCAATGTGGGATGTTTTCCTAAATTTCCCCCCTTCTGATACCGTGTACTTTTTTAATCTCGTTCATTTTCAGAGCATTTTTACATAGTTTTTATTGCTTCTCCAAATTCATCCACAACCCACAGTACTGTTTTCACACTAACCTTTTTGGGTGCAACCATTGCAAGCATGGATGCAGTGAAACTTACTTATTCAATCTACAGTATGTGTTGAATATATAATGGGGAAGGCTGGATTGGAAGAATGAACATGAAACTGAAGGAAGAAGCATCATGTAACTGCACTATGCACATGTGGCCACTTTGATAGCTGAAAATGTAAATGGGCAAAGTTCTCATAATAAAAATCAAGAACTTACACAAAAACCTACAAGACAAAAAAATCAAGAACTTGCCAAAAAATTTGAACCTCTCATAGTGGGGAGCAAATCAACTCTCTACTACAAAGACTCCATAAAAATCAAATACCTAAAAGTAGAATATGAAGTTATGATTTCATTCATTGTCACAGCACGCTTCATGTCCATGAGCCAGAACTAGAAAAAGAATCACATGAAGTGTTAATACTACTTTACAACACCTTGATAAGGCCAAACTTGGAATACTGCATCCGGTTTTGGCCACCACGATGTAAAAAAGATTGAAACTCTAGAAAGAGTACAGAGAAGAGCAACAAAGATGATTAGGGGACTGGAAGTTAAAACATATAAGGAACGATTGCTGGAATTGGGTATGTCTAGTTTAATGAAGAGAAGGACGAGGGGGGACATGATAGCAGTGTTCTAATATCTCAGGGGTTGCCACAAAGAAGAGGGAGTCAAGCTATTCTCCATAGCGCCTGAAGGCAGGACAAGAAGCAATCGATGGAAACTAACCAAAGAGAGAAGCAACCTGGAACTAAGGAGAAATTTCCTGACAGTTAGAACAATCAGTGAAACAATCTGCCTCCAGAAGCTGTGAATGCTCCAACACTGGAAGTTTTTAAGAAAAGACAGGCCAGCCATTTGTCTGAAATGGTATAGAGCAGGGATTCTCAACCTTGGCAACTTTAAGACTTGTGGACTTCAACTCCCAGAATTTCTCAGCCAGCAAAGCTGGCTGAGGAATTCTGGGAGTTGAAGTCCACAAGTCCTAAAGTTGCCAAGGTTGAGAACCCCTGGTATAGAGTTTCCTGCCTGAGCAGGGGGTTGGACTAGGAGACCTCCAAGGTCCCTTTCAACTCTATTATTATTATTATTATTATTATTATTATTATTATTATTATTATTATTATTATTATTAGCAGCAGCAGCAGCAGCAGCAGCAGCAGCAGCAGCAGCAGCAGCAGCAGCACTACACAATACATTTGATCTAGCAAAATACACTAAGATTGAAATACCCAGAATCATGGATGTCATCAATCTCTGCCTCCCTACCTACTTTCAGTTTGATGGGCAAATATACGAACAAATCAGAGAAACACCATGGGATCACTACTTTTAAGACTTATAGGAGAAACCATAACGCACCATTTATAAACTATAATACCTCTACACATACAACCAAATGTATGGATACGGTAGGTAGCTAATACCTTTGTCATAATAAAAAAGGAATAACTAGAGAAGACAAATAAAATAATATGTTCAAAGAAATAAAATTCACACAAAAAGAATAACAATACTTTCCCCTTCCTGGATATCCTCATCAGCAGGAGAAATTACCATGAATTAGAATCACAAATCTATCAAAAAACAATCCACATTAATAAAGTGCTCCATTATAGCTGTGTATATAAAGTGTTCATATACAGCTCCAAGAGGAGCTGTATTTGAACATTATTCAAATGAGCATAAACACACTGCAATAATCCAGAACATCAGAAAAAAAGAAAAAATGTCTATACATTTTTTAACAGCAAAATGGATGACCATGCAATTTCTCCAAAAAATTAATGAGCACACATTCAGTGACCATTCATACTTGCAACAGTGCTGAACAAGTGGTCCTTGAAGTTCTGACTCCCCGTGTCCTGTGATCACATGATTACTATTTGCAACCCTCCCCACTAGCTTCCACAAGCAAAGTTAATGGGAAAGTCAACAGGAAGTTGCAAGTTGCAATGGACATGAAAACTGGACTTTGAAGAAGCAAGAATATGTTTGTACTTCAGTGTTGAAAAAGACTTTTGAGAATACCATGGACACTCAGGAAAAGAAACAAATGGATCATAGAATAAATCAATCCAAATTTCTTGTTGGAGGCACAAATGACCAGGCTCAAATCATCATGTCTTAGATTGTACATTTGAAGACCTACCTTTTTGCAGAAGTCAGTGAAAAAGGAGAAAAGAGGACAAACCAGAGCAAAGACGATGGAATTGACCAGTAATGAAGGTCACTCCGGTTGCTAAAAGTCAACATTTACTTGTTGGCACATTATTTATTTATCTATCATTATATGATGTTGGGAAACATCCAGCTTGGCAGGGAAGTGGGATCAAAAGCAGAGTTAGCCTGGAGTCATTGCACAACTGCAAAAAGGTAATTCTTCTGAAGGGTAGGCTGCCAGATTCCTCTACTATAGGCAGAAAATAATAGCTAGCTCAAATTCTACATAAGTGGGTCTGCTTGTTATCGCCTGACATATTTATCTTTGATCTTTCCATCAATGTATTGTAGAAAGCCACCTTGATATAATAGTTAAAGGCTAGAAACCAAGAGACTATGAGTTTCAGTCTTATTAAGCATGATGCCAGCTGGATGACTTTGAGCCAGTCCATTTCTAAAAATATTGCCAAAAATCTTCATGGACTTGTCCAGGCAGTTACCAGGAATCAAGGCTGATTTGAAGGCACAAGATTATTATTAGTTTCTAATGGAAATATGTTTTTTGCGGATATAAGTTGCCTTGATTTTATCTATATTTGTATACTTATTTACTGTGAATAGTTTTGAAGCTGCAATAGCCAGCTGAAAGCAAAAGAATTGGGTGCAGAAAATGAAATTTATCTTCCTATGTGTTACCCTGCTCTTAACAATTTGTACAGTTTTATATTGGGAGGGGGGAAACAGAGAGAATTAGAAGCAATTTATTAACTTTGGCCTTTATGTAATTTTTGTAGCAGAACCACTTCTAATCTGGTACCTTCCAGATGAGTTAAATTGTGAGTGTTGTTATTCTTGGTGATCACAGCCAATACAAGTTTGGATGTTGCTTACAAGAGTTATATTTGACCATAGCTGAAAGGTTAGCCCAGCTGTTTCCTTTATATGCCCAAAGCAGAAGCATTTTAAAAGTTTTACATAATTATATTAGAGATATTCTTTTGTGATAAGCCATATTCAGTATGAATCTTTGAATGTTATCTTTTACAGGTTGGATGAAAGAAGTTAAGAGAAACGCCAAGAACATCAAAATAGGTAAAATTTTAATTAACTTTTCACATTCAAATTGTAGAAGGCTTGCAGTATAAATGGATTTATCTCCCCCCCCCCATCTTAATTGCAGTTATATTTTCGATGATCACTCTCTTTGTTTGACCTCTAGGGAAAGTAGTATGTTGATTTAGTTTAGTCTATAGTACAATCTAGCAAGGCTGTCCTCGTATTCTTTATTATTGAGAATTGAATGCTTACCTATACTTTAAAATTATATAAATCTTTCTGGAACAAAGATGAGGTAGTGTAATATACGTTAACTAAAGTATGTTAATTAAAGAGCTATTACAGCAATTCTGTGTTCCTATATTCACTTGTCTAGCAAAATTTATGATGGCTAACACTTTAATCCCCAGTGTTGAATTCCATACGATCTAGATATGTCACAGATCTTTCACTATTGCAAAATGCAAATAAAACCTGGAAATCCACAGTACATTCTGAATCCTTACCAGACATACTATTAACTAGTTTGAAATAAGGGATGCTTGCAGAGATGATGTTGTTAGGGATGAGATGCTGTAGGAAAAAGAAAAATTGCTGTTTGGATAGACTAAGATAGCTTAGCTTTGGTGTTCTATGTATCCTCATAACTAGGTGAATGAAATGAGTTATATATGAGGCTCTTCTTTAAGATGGTGTTGAAGTTGTAACAGGTTCATACTGTATCTTTAGAACCAAACCATTGTGATAACAAAATACATATCCTGTCCCTAAGCCCCGCAGTGGCTGCCTCAGAGAGACCAGGCTCCATTAAAAAGATCGACAATAGCTTTTAACCAACTACTTGCAAGTATATCTCCTCTAGTACCAGCCAGTTCAACTGCTGAGATCATCTTGAGCAGTGTTTCTCAACCTTGGCAACTTTACGATGTGTAGACTTCAACTCCCAGAATTCTCCAGCTAGCATTGCTAGCTAGAGAATTTTGGGAGTTGAAGTCCACACATCGTAAAGTTGCCAAGGTTGAGAAACACTGAGCTTGAGGGATCCTGCCCATAGTTCCACCTATGGGTCTTTAGGAAGTGGGGCTGATCCTCCTCCTATCTGGTTTTAAAGGTAGTGTAACTGTCATTAACTAGATAACCACTCTCTCTAATGCAGGCATGTCAAACTCACGTCACGTGATATCACGTGACATATTGGACTTTTTTCCCATTGCCGGCACTGGGGTGGGCGCAGTTTCGGCGTGACGCATCCAGCTCACGGGCCGGCAGTTTGACATGCCTGCTCTAATGCATGGGTTAATTGTTGCATATTTTACTTTGGATTATAGTGTTAATTTACAATTACTTACTGAACTGTTATTGTTCTTTTCAGTTTTGTCTTATTTTCCATGGTTGGGGTTAGGGTTTCGTCATACTTATAAAAACTAAATTTCTTATGAAGAAAAATAATGGCCATTTCTATGTTTTGTCCCTTTTTTATATATTTAGTCCCACGGATTTTATTTGAAGATTGGTCTTATCACGATTTTGAAACCGTATTTGGCAGTGAGGATGAGATAGAAGAACTTTCTAATATTATGATTCAAATAGCCAAGGTAAAATAATATCCCTTAGAACTAAAAACAACAAGCACTAAAGTTATTGTTTAAAATGATAGTAATAGTAAAAATAAATTAAAGTGGCACAATGTTCAAGTTAACTTATTTTGAAAATCATATTCAGTATTGAACAAATGAAAACTGACCTCTAGATGTTGAAATACAGGTAGCAAAAGCATTAAAACCCCAAAGCAAGTTGAACAATTTTTTGCAGGATGCCTGAGACCTTATCAACAGTAAATAACAGGCTTTACAATATTTATTGCCGTGGATATTTTTTTTTCTTACTCAAATTTTTCTATTCTTTTAGAGTGAAAACTTTGATGGTTTTGCAATTGAAGTATGGAATCAGCTAGGAAATCAAAAACAAACGTAAGTCCAGGGCTTATTAAGATATATGCCATTTTTTTGGGGGGGGGAAGTATTTGAACTATTAAGGGCTGCAATGAAAATCATGTTTATTTAAAGCAAATCTAATTGAAATCATTGTGATCATACCAAGGTTTTTTTTTTTTTTTTTTTTTAAAGAGCCTGAAAGCACAGTGTAAGGAAGTCATTGTCAAGAATTTCCTATTAAAGAACAAGCCTTCTGATGCTATGGTTCAGTGTGGGAATTTCTTTGTGCATGCTATTCTGGTAGTTTAGGGTAATCTGGGCAAAATTGTAGGAACACCATAAAGTAGAGTTCCTTAACCGGTAACGTGTTGGGGACCGGTAACGTGGAGAGAAGTTTTTCCGTGGAGCAGAGGGGGCGTGGTTTTGTTTGCTGCCTGCATCCCGCAGATGGGGCTTTGCTTGTTTGTGTGCCCAGTTGCTGGCATGCCGCGGCCCGGTACTGGTCCACAGACCAGGAGTTGGGGACCCCTGCCATAAAGAAAGTTATAAGGAGATAAAGTAACTCCTATAATTTGAAGTGGGAAGGTTTCATATGAATTGGAACAGATTTAGGCATGTCTGAGTTGCAGTGTCAAACCAAATAGTGTGGGATTTTTTTTTATTTTTTTTATTTTTGGTTTTGTTTTAACAAGGAATACATCCATTCCTGTCGTCTACCACCGAGGTATCTTGCAAAACTCATTTTCTTTGTGTTGAATCTGACTCCAAAAGTTTCTGCCTTTTAATGACAGAGTTATTACTGTTATTATTGTTGTTACTGCCGTTAAATCTTCAAGATTAGTATTGATCCCGTTAGTTGGTCATGAATTCCAAGTCACAAAATATCTCTTGCTGGACTTCAAAGTGTCATGTTTTCTTGTTGTTACTTGAACGAAAGGATCCTTAAATACTACAGATTCCAAATAAATATCTTATTGTCTGAATGAAGCTCTTAAATTTATCTGCAGATTTTTTTAAAAAAAAGCTGTAACACTTTCACTAGCTGCTTTTAGTGAAGCTGAACAATTCATTAGTTGTATTTAAGAAAGTACCATGTGCAAATTCTTTGGAAAAAAGCTGGGTATTACCACTTGTAGACAAAAATATGCAGATAACATGGTTATTTTTTTTTCCACAATTCTTTTACCCTAACCAGTTTGGTTGTAAAAATATTTTGTGGGCACTTGCATAGCTGCAGAGACCATTCTAAATAGGGTACCCTAACTGAAAAAGCCCCTCTTCCTTATAGCCACTTAGTGTAATCGATGATGAATTCAGAAGCAGGGCTTTGGCCATAGAACGCCCAGAACGGAGTTCAGGCACCTTTTTTGGATGGAACCTTGTAAGGTAGGCAAGGCAGGTTGTATGACGTGTGTGAGTTCCGGCACCTTTTTTTTTTCTTTACAAAAAAAGCACTGTTCAGAAGCATCTTTAAAGATTCACCACTTTCAAGATTTGACATATTATTATGTTCCATTTTTTATATTGACGGATGCCCTCCAGAGAGCTTAGAAAACCATACATCGACCACTGCTAAATTTAAATCAGTTAAATCAAGCCAGATGGCAACCTTTTCTGTGTTGCAGAGTTACTTATGTTGATTTGGTGAGATTGTTGTTCAGGTATCCCTGCATCCACGCAGGTGTGAAAAACCTCTGTGCTTACTCTCTGTGCTAACTTTTCTTGAAAAGGATCTGGGTATTGCATCTAGTTTAGATTTTCCCAGTGCATAGTGGTTATAGGAGAAAAGAAGACGACTAGACACAGAAATTGTTGAAAGGGAGGAAGAGCCTTATAACACCTGGATGCATTGGTTTGCATGTATTAATAGCTTTTGAAGGTACCCTTCTTGGTCCCTCAAGCTTTATAAAAAAATGTTCCTAGAACACAATTGTTACTGGATTTTACTTTTTTAATGTCACAGTCAAAGAGCATTTTTTTAGAAGATAAAAATCATAACTTCTAGCTTATAGTCTTTTAATTGTCCCTACAACTACTGTCTGGATTTTAGCTGCTGTGTCTGTGAATTGTCCTTGCATCTGATGAGGTTGGCTGTGATTAGAGGTGTAGATGTGCTGTAATAAATGTAGCACATTAGATATCATAAGCTTCATTGTTTTTACTGTAATGAACGTATTCTTTCTGGAACCTTGGTGAATGCTGACAACAACAGATTTCTCTGGCAGTGTTTCTTCCTAATCCTAACAATGAGAGTTCGTGATATGATTAGTGGAAAGCTATGCACTTGTTTTCCACACCAACAAGAGCTTCGTAACATTTCTTCTGCTCGTTAAAACTTGACAGGTTGTTCAGACTTTATCCACACAGTGGCAGTAAAGTTCTTGCGGTCCTCTAATCTTTAGAAATCATACTTTTAAGCATTTTCACTGAAAACCTCAAGCTCTATGCTGCTGCTTTGTTTCTCAGTATCAATATCTGATTTTAATGGGCTGTTCAAGAATTACTTGACTTTAACGGGTTTGATTATTTGTGTAGCTAAAAACATAATTATTTTCTAGTATCTTTGTGGTTTGCTGATTCAGAATAATACCTTACTAGGAATACATAAAAAAGCCATTTGGTGTGGTGGATAAGGAGCAAGGCTAGAAACTAGAAGACTCTGAGTTCTAGTGACATCTTAAGCATAAAGCTAGCTGGGTGATCTTCAGCCAGTCTCTTAGCCCCAGAAAGGAGGCAATGGCAAGCCATATCTGAAACCTTGCCAAGAAAATAGCAGGAATTCATCCAGGCTATTGCCAAGAGTCAAGATTGTCTTGAAAGCATACAAAAGGGAATAGGTAAAATTGTGTGATAGAGTAGGAATCCACAGGAGGTAAAATTCCTATATTTTAATGTTTATAATTAATGACAGCATGAGTTCCCTTGGTGGTAGCTAGCTTAATATAAAGGATGGTTGTACAATTGCACAGCATCGCACGATACTTGTTCCAGAAGAAATTGGAACCATTTTATTTTTCTTACTTTGTTTTTAATTTTTATAGTCATTTGTCATTTTTGATTTGGAGAATTATAGTAGTAGTTTCATTGCAGTTTTTCTCCTCCAGTTGAGTTATTTTCAGTGTGTTTATTGATTAAAAAAACTACTGGAATTCTTTGGTAGGAGGGAAATAGAACAGACAACTTGATTTTTTTCCATCTATTGCAAAGGAATAAGAATGAAGCTTTTTCAGTTTCACTAGAGCAAAGGTCCCCAACCCTTTGGGCACCAGGGACCAGTTCCATGGAGAGAGGTTTTTCCGCAGACTTGAGGGTGCATGGTTTTGTGTGCTGCCTGCATCCCACGGATGGGGCTTTGCTTTTTTGTGCTGACCGGTTGCTGGCATGCTGCGGCCCGGTACTAGTCCAGAGACCAGGGGTTGGGGACCCTGGCACTAGAGGATATTTTAACATTGAAATGTGAGTTCCTAAAAGCAGAGACGTATTCTGCTTGGGTTGGGAAAACCCAGGCTCAAATTGCTATTCATTCATTTACTCAGCCCAACATACCTTATCAGGTGGTGGTTATATATGGGGAGACGTTTCTTACACCTCAATCTCTCAACAGTTAATAACTCACTGTTAATAACTCTTATAAACTGTGGCAGAAAATAGGTCCCTATTTCATTGAAAAACTCAGTGTATTTAAAAAAACCACACGCACACACAACCTGAAGATGAGCAGGGTACCGAGTGAGCGATGCTTTTTATGTTGTCATTGGTCTGGTGGAGAATCACTGATTAGCTCATGAATTTCAATCAATCAGAATAGAGCTGGAAGGGACTTTGGAGGTCTTCTATTCCAGCCCCCTGCTCAAGCAGGAGTCCCTATACCATTTCAGACAGGTGGCTGTCCAGTCTCTTCTTAAAAACCTTCAGTGATGAAGCGCCCACGATTTCTGAAGGCAAGCTGTTCCACTGGTTAATTGTCCTCACTGTTAGGAAGTTTCTCCTTAATTCCAGGTTGTTTCTCTCCTTGATTAGTTTCCATCCATTGTTTCTTGTCTTGTCTTCTGGCGCTTTGGAAAATAAATTGACCCCCTCCTCCTTGTGGCAGTTCTTAAAGTTTCAAGGTTGGCTTCATTGAGGACAATTACAGCTTAATTTGGAAGGCTTTCTTTTAAAGTTTAGTGGACTGAAAATTGTGATGGTGTGGAAGAGATCTATGAATACTAAGAAGCCATCATTTCTGAGACAGGCATAAAAGTCTGATTCCATGCATTAAAAAAAAGATACTAATTTTATTTAGGCCAGTAGGTGGTGCCACTGTACAGCTGACTTGAAAAGCACTGTTTTCACTTCAGAGAGATTTGCATCTCTCTTTCAATGACACATCACTACTTCAGTCTGAGCCTTGGAAATTTAACCTATTAATCAAAGGCTTATATAAGTTGCTTCCTTCCGTGATATTGCATTAGGCGGTGAGTAGACAACATGCATTATTAACACATTCTTGGAGGTTGTTAAAATGTGGGTCTTAACTTTTATTACCCATGAAGACAATTTTATTTTAGCCTTTTTGTTTTTAAATTACTCCAGTAAAATACTTGGTAATGTGGTAGAAAGGTAATTGTTTTCTTTGTAGTTAACTTGAGCAATTCAGAATTTGCAACAAATATCACATTGGGGTAAACTTTCTGCAAGATGAGCAGCATTAAGTGCACTGGCTAAGACCAAGCAATTATAGGATGACAAAAGTGTCTTGAATGTATTTTAGTGAGTGAATTATTTAATTTATATATACACCCATCTCATGTAAGTGACACGGAGTGGCTTATAAGATTGAAAACAAACAACTCCACAAGCAATCTCCAGCATTGAAGGTGGTGAGAAGCCAAAGGTGTGTTATGACAGCAGTGTGTATTCAGAAAACTGTCATAACCTAAGAAAACTAACCTTTTTTTAAAAAAAGAAAAAGCTTAATTGGTTCATGATAGATTTTCAATGTGGCATACAGCATGGAGGAACCTCTGAAGTTATATTTAACAATGGCAAAGTACATAATCAGTATTTAACATGTTTTGACATTTAGACAGCCTGCTCCCACCTCATTCCTTTAAAAATGCAATACAGTGTTTAACTCTCCTTCTTTCAGGGAGAATAGTAAAGTGGGCAAATATGGTCATAAAACAGTAATGTTACCTTAAGAGCACCAGAAACATAACCTATAGAGAATTTTCACATGGGCAAGCAATGGGATTTGCTTGGGGTATAAAATATGCACTTCTGATTTATGTAGTTTCTTTTGAGTGATAAATGAAAGTAACAAAAATTATATTTCAGCATTAGGTGCTTTTCCAAAAGGCAGCTGGCAACCTGGATAATTGAGGATCCCTATAGACATCTCAGCATTAACTTTTAATTCCTTGATGGTCATGAAGTACCCCTAGTACAAAAAGGTGGTTTGACGTTAGTCTACCAGTATCTTAAAAACAAAAAAACTACCACCCCTATCATTTTTTCCATCAATCAAGGAAAATGCCCAATAGATACTTCTATTTGTATGTTTTCCAAAAAAAAAAGAAATTTGCATTTTTTTAAAAAAAGATTTTTTATATTGGTGCATAATTCTTAGTACTATATAGGATTATACGTGCATAGGCTAGATCTTTGCTCCTGTATTGGTTAGAAAACAATGTAGAATGTAGAAACAATTATACAAAACTATGTGAAGTTCAAATAGCTGATCCTACGCCTTTCTTTTTTTTTACTTGATTGTTGGTCTAATGTTTATCTTGCAGTCAATCTGATCACTCGGATGAGCATAGATTAACTCTGAAGATTAAGATCTAAGATGCCAACAGTAAACAGCCCAACCAAAGAATCTCTAAGATCACCTCAGCCAACACTAACAGGGCAAGCCACTAGAACAGGGGTCTTCCAACTTGGCTCTTTTATGACTGGCTGAGGAATTCTGGGAGTTGAAGTCCACAAGTCATAAAAGGGCCAAATTTGAAGACCCCTGCATTAGAATATAAACTGAGAGCAAACCCTACTACTTACTAGCACTGATGATGTTACCTAATTTGGGCAATGAAACAGCTGCAAGAAAGCAATCAAGTTCAGAGAGCACCATGGACTCCTCATTTCAACCCTGGGCTACAAACATTCTCCTTATTGTCTCAGGAGATTCTCAGTCATCGAAATCCTGGTTGTCCCAAAGTAACCTTAAGAAAACTGGACTTGCTTTGTTTTTGCTTGACGACGTTTCACCTCTCATCCAAGAAGCTTCTTCGGGTCTTCACTTCGTCAGAATGTCTTCAAGCAAAAACAAAGTCCACCTGCCTTTTGAAAAAGCACCTTTGGGATTCTCCTTTATTGGTGTCTTCTTTTGAGTCAACTTGTAAAGGAATGTTGCAAGGCCAAACATTTAGGGTTTTTTTATAACAAATTTTATTAATTTTTCAGTTCTACATCCAAGTATTTAGGAAGCAGCGTGGTGATAGGGTAATCAATAGTCCAATAACAAAATCATTCGTGCATATCTCAGGTTATGTCATTAAAAGTTCCCTCTCTATTTCCCTTAATTATTATATCACATTCAAGTTAATACATTTCTAGTTATAACTCAGTCAGTCAATACATTTGTCAATATAATTTTACTTATACATATCCAAGTCCTGTTTTTAAGTTTTACTTAATTCCAATTACCGTGTTCCAATTTGGCCTTTAATAACCATAATATTTAGACTTCAGGTAACCCAAATTTCCCTCATTTCTTTACAAAATAATTATTGTGTCTAAAATATACATATTGTTCAGAAAGTTACATTCTTACTTTGTTTCACAAGTATATTCTATTTCTCGTCCTACTAGCTCCTCATTTACTAATAAAATAACTTTCACTGTCACAAACCCATTTCCATGTTACAATTCAAAACTATAATCTAATAGCTAATTTTCATTTCCTTTATAGATCTAAGTCCTAAATATTTAGTTTTGAAAGATAATGTTTTCTGACTCAGATGCAGGTTTAAAACTGAGAGACTGAAAAATCTGTTCTTTCTTTTTTTCCCTTTTTCCCCTTAACTCACAGAGCTAATGTTTTGTCCGTTTTACAGGGATCTGATTCACTTGCTCACTCACTTCTCTGAAGCTTTCCATGAGGCACAACTAAAACTAATGCTTGTCATTCCTCCTGGTGTTATGCCAGGGTAAGTATCTTACTTTCAAGAAAATCCCAGATGTATTTGTCTTTAGTTTCTTTCAAGGCATTAGAGTTTATTGCTTCTGAAAGCCCAATTTTCTATGTAGTGAAACAAGTGTTCTCATTACAGTCCAGGATAAAAATACCTGACTCAACATTTTGGGTGGTGGAGGGAGACTAGTCTTGTGTTTGAGGTACAAATGAAAATATGATTGTACTAAGATGAAATCCCTTCAGGTAACCAATCAGTGAAAAATATTCTAAAGTTAGAGATATATTGAAAAATAATAAAAGAAACACCAGTGGTAGAAATTTTAAATGGAAAGTAGAGTATGAGCTTTTAGAATAGAATGATGCTCATCATGGGGATGCTAATCATGATGCATTCAGCATATGTTATAACTACATTAAATATTTTATTATTAAATTTCTTTATGCCCATCTCATCTAAGCGATTCCAGGAGCTTTACAACAACATAATGATACAATATAAACACATGACTTAAAGCACTGTTAAAAACAGAATTAAGAATTTACAGGTTATAGATGAAAATCAAAGTTAAAAAAATCAGAAAACTAAAAAATTAACAAGGTGGACTGAGTGCTCTCAAGTCACCATCCATCCCCAGAGTTGCATCACAAGCTTAGGTCCTCATGCTAATTGGCAAAACCAGGTCTTAATGCTCTTCTGGAAAACCAGATGAATGAGGGTGTGCCTTACCTTAGAGCAGGGGTCTCAAACTCACCACGTGATGTGTCGTGACGTATCGTGATTTTTTTTCCATTACCAGCAATGGGGTGGGCGTAGTTTTGGCATGACACATCTGGCCCACGGGCCGGCAGTTTGACAACCCTGCCTTAGAGGGTGATGTTCCAAAGGGTCCTCCTTGATCCCACCAGTCGAAGCTCTTTGGCCGATGGGATTTACAGGATGATCCCCTCTTTGACCAGGTGGGATGAGTGAATGTAAGTAGGATGAGGCAACTCCTTAGGTCCCTGGTCCCATGCTATGAAGGGCTTTAAAGGTGATAACTAAGAGCTTCCTTGGACCCAGAAACAAACTGGCGCAGCTCACATAGCAGAAGTATTGCATGTAATATACTAGAGGTGCCTAAAACTACTTATGCTACTGCATTCTGCACCAGTTGCAGCTACAGATACTCTTCAAGGTTAGCCCCATGTAGAGTGCATTGCAGTAGTCCATCCAGAAGATAACCAGGGCATGAGTGACTGAAAGGAAGGATAAGTATTATAGTTAATATATAATTAACAATAAAATAAAAAGAAATAATAAAAATATATAACTACATATGCAGACTAAACATTATCTAATTCAAGTTTCTTTTGCCTATGCCAAATGTTTAATGTAGTTTATGGCTAACTTACAATGTATTATTTTGTAACAATTGAGAAAGGAAGCTGCGCTTGCTAATATTTTAATGATTTTTGAAGACAACCTTTGGTCAGAAATACACCAAATATTTCAATCTGTCAATTGTACCATGTGTTAAATATATGTATTCTCCTTCTTGACAGCTTGGCTATTTTAAATGTAGCCTAGATTTCATAATTCATAATTTCATGACTGGCACTCAATTGCACTCCATTTCAAAGAGAACTGTGTCATATGTGCAAAACATCTGCTTTGGATTTCTAGTGTTGATCCTTGATTTTCAGTTATCAGTTGCCATTTAAAATAACACAAGCTCTATTTGGATCTACCACCCAATTTTATGCCTACCAACGTGACATTAATATTGTAAGTTGTTCAGCACCTGCATTTTTCATTATCTACATCCTATAATTTGCTGTGACTTTGAATTAGTTCATAGGTCTCTGCAGACATAATGGGCATATGAGTATTGGTAGCCCTTGATTTAGGACCACAATTAAGCCCAAAATGGCTAAACAACACAGTTGTTGGGTGAGTTTTGCCCCATTTTGCGACTTTTCTTGTCACAGTTGTTAAATGAATCACTACAGTTGTTAAGTTGGTAACATGGTTGTTAAATGCACCTGGCTTCCGCATTGACTTTCCTCGTCAGAAGGTTGCAAAAGGTGATTAGATGACCCCAGGACCCTGCCACCATCATAAATTCATGCCAGTTGCTAAGCATCCAAATTTTGATCATGTGACCATGGAGATGCTGCAACAGTCATAAGTGTGAAAAACGGTCATAAGTCACTTTTTTCAATGCCGCTGTAACTTTGAACAGTCACTAAATGAATGGTTGTAAGCCAAAGGCTACCTGTACAAGAGGCTGGGATTTAGATCATAATACATGTTACATTTTTGGTGTTTAAAGGTTGTTTCCCGTGCACAGACCATTTGGCATCACTACATGAATAACTTCACTGTATAAGCCTTTGGGCGCCTTTTGATCTTTTACAATACATTATAGGATTAGAAGCTTATTTATTATTACTTGTACTATAACGAGAACTTGTGCATGGAAACATTTTGCATATCATCTTGATGTGCTCATCTATATTATCACTGATACCCTGCTGAATCATTTATTTATTTTTGTGCTGCCACTTAGTCTATAGGGAAATATAGCATCCTAACATGAGAAAACCAAGCAGAAATATTGATCTGTTTATTTTAGTTTTAAAGCAGATTGTCCCCGCTTGTTAATTGTAGCCTATTTCAGAAGGCAAATGAGCCCTCTGAAATAATCTACCACTTCTACAACATTAATCATTATTACAATAAAACTTCTCATAAAGTTAATGCATTCCATTCAAGATCTAGGATAATTGCATCAAATAATAGATGTTTTAAAGTGCTTTCATATATTTTGAATGTTAAATAGAAAATGGGCAGGCTTTCAAATTGTTTATTCTCTTTTCATTCTCTTCTTACATTTCCCCAACTCTTTATAACAGGCATGTGAAACACAGATACGGCCCACGCAGGCCATACTCACCCCGGCTCCACAAGAGCAAAACAAGTCCAGATACATCACCATACGGCCCACGATACGATCGGGTTTGACACCCCTGCTTTTTAGAATCTGAGTTGCTTCAATGTGCATGGTATTCCATATGCATCTGTATTTTATTTTTATTTTTTTTTGGTCTCAAATACATTTGTGTAAAACTAAATCTTTTCAGTGTGCTGGGAGGAAATTGCTAAGTTCTTAGCATTGAAGACCAGAATAGCCATTAATACATTGCAACTTAATCCCACTCCATAGAGCCTACCACTGCTATTGGATTACTGCAATGTGCTATATGTGGGAATACCTTTGAAAAATTACCTCAGACTTTAGTTAGCTAAAAATAGGCCAGATACACTATATATGTCTGTCCCAGTTAGCAGTCATTTTATGCTTCCCATTCTAAATTGGCTGTTCAATTCTAGGCCCAATTCAAAGTGCTTCTTTTAAACCTCATTTTCTTGCAATTTTATGAAAAGATTTGTATTGCCGAGTTTTAATTATACTGGTGGTTTTATTACTTTAGATTGGTTAGTTTAAGAGTATACATTTTAGTGCAGTTTTACACTGCCTAAAGTCATAATATGAAATTGCAAGTCCTAATAATACGGAATTGAGATTTTTTTTGTGGAAAAGAGAATCTAAGTGCACAAACTTCTTTCCCTCCGTGCATCATTACATAATAAGTACTTCAGGTTCTGGACAAATGGTGAGCTTCAGGGCTAAATCCTTTAGCACTGTTAAGAAAGATTTTAGAAGAATGCTCAGTTTAGAATAATCGCCATCTTTCTGTCATCTAAGTTTGCATCATTGCTTTGTGATGATACGCTAATGGGAAAAATACATCAGTGTGCTTGCTTTAGGCAGCTAGAGTGGAAAAAGAAGTTTGTGGTCTTTGTGCTTAAAAGAATAAAAAAAAGAGTGGTCAGGTAACCCAATATTGTGACAAGTAAAGCAGAATAATAAATACAAGCCCACAAGGAAATAGAGTGAACATATTTATAACTGTCTATATCTCCTTGGAATGAAACTTGGATCTGGGCAATTTTATAGTCATAACCATATACTTTTCTCATTTTTCTCACATGGAAATGGTTTGTCACTGTCTTCTTCTAGCTTCCCAGTTTAGTCTACAGCCTTAGTATTTCCAACACTGTCCCATCAAATGAAGGCTGACTCTGCCTAACCTCTGAGCCCAGACAAGATATGTCCCTCTACCTCAAGCATAAGCTCATTGGAACCAAATCCTGCTATTTTTGCTCATTTTTGTCTATTGCTCTGACATTGGAACTCTATACTAATGCCAAATCAAGGTATTTTCTGCTCACCCAGGAAAAACACTCTACATCAAGTACCTTGAACCTGGTTTCAGTTGGCTAACATGAAAACTCATCCTACAGCTACTGTATATAGCTGAAGTCCATAGATTCTCTGATTTTTAAGTTTCAGTCTGACATGACATAATACATTAGATTCATAGCATTAATAAAAAGCTGAAAACAGCTTTTCATTGGCATATTTAATGTTACATCATCCTTGTTCATTATCACTTAAGAGTCAAATTAGGTCAAACCTTTACAAATGGTGGAAGATAATATATGCTGGAATATATTTAATCAACTATTCAGCAAAAGGCATACAAAATATTAGCACAAAGAGCAAAATAATATAAGTTAAGTTCTTTAGTGAAAAACTGAGAAGATACATCTAAACCACTGTGTGAAAACACTGGTGTTACGATCTAATCCCTAATGGCTAAAAAGCGCTTCCTTTGTTGTCTATTTTGATTTAAGTCTGAAGAAAGAGCATGTGTAATATGATAGCAGTAACATGATTCAAGATCAAATTTTTGGAAAATGCTATCTTAAAAGAAAAACAAATGCTGGAGATACTGAACAATTAAGGAATACAATTGCTATCTAGAAAATGCAAAATGTTTCATTAGTTCATACATACTGTACGTGTCGAATCATGCAGTTTCCCACGGAATGCTAAAATTTTAGTATGCACAAATTATAGGCACCAGCAGAGAGTAGACAAGATACACTACTAAGTCTGGGTACAA